TCAAATGAGTGTCCACAGATGAGTTGAGAGGGGGGTGAAGGAAGCGATTTGTGTAAAAAGAGAGAAACCGTCTCTAAACAGAGGAGGAGGGCTCAGATTTCCACTTCCAAAAACCTATAATGCAACTTTAACACAGATTCCCAGCCGGTTTTCACACCTGATGGGAACAGAGGGGCCTCGTCTGTGAATTAGAGGAACAAAGACCTTAAGAAAGCCCTACTGTTAAGGTGTGAGGTGTGAATTGTCAATCTACATGTGTATGTGCATCTTATCTCAGCCTTATAACCTGAACCCCTCACGCTCTGCTCTTTGAATTGAGAAAGTTCCTCGGATGAGGAGCGAAACGTCTTCTGTTACAAATAAAGTCCAGTTGTTCTCGTCTTGAACGTTTTTGAATTCGTCATGTCCTGGATGACTGAGAATCTTCACCAGCAAAGTGATGTTAAAGTGTAAAATCAGAGTTGTTAGATTTACTTTTTTTTAGTTGAAAACTGTGCGTAAGTGGTGTTAAAGTCCTTTCTTTGAGAGCTAAGCTACAAGCTAACTACGGCCGGCTTGCCGTACTCGTATTCGGACACACGCGCAAAACGCTGTTCCATCGAAAGTTTTTTTTTTTTGTCGAAAGTTCGTCGGTCAGCTTTAGAGAGTGCATTTAAGAAAAAAAAAAAAGATGAAACCTGCTCTCTGATCTGTGAAAAGAACGCTGTGTTGTGTGATTTCACTGTGAGACCCTCTGGTCAAAGCCACAGAGGAAACTGGTCGCCATTTTGTGTCAGCTCTCCTTAAAGCGAAAGGAGACGCCCACTGGAGGGTTGGAGGGTGAAGTGTTTCAGTGTGAAATGCTGCTCTGTTGCTGCTCATTTCTTAAGTGAGAATACTGGAAACTATTAAGAGTTAACAACATATTCTTTTGTTTAAAACATATGGCTAAAACTACATTTGATATATTTTGCACTACAAGAAAGAAGCACAATACTTGATTTGTTTTTTTATTTAAAAACTCTCTGGACCTAGTGGAATTTTATTAATTGAGATTATTTTGTGGTATAGCAGTTTTCAAAATAAATGATGGCAAGATGACACCCTATGCTTTTTTCATTCCTATTGCAAGTTTTATACCAAAAACATATTGTGATATATATCGTTACCGCCACCCTTCACAACACATATCGTGATATGAATTTTATGCCATATCGCACATCCCTAGTCCAGAGTATAGGTCTAGATGGAAGGAGAAGGGGCCACAACAGCAGAGTTCTCAGTTCAGGCGTCATTAGGGGACAAGGAGTTGATGAATAAGTTAAGTGACCTAGCAAACCCCTGGATTAGCCCATCAGTTAAGACATGGAAGAAAGTAATAGCTAAAAACCATCTGAATGAAGCAATAAATGTGTTGAGATTGCGTGCATATGGTCTAGATTTCTTGCCAAAACATCTAGATGCAAGATCAAAGGATCGGAACACACATGGGTTAACAGCGTACTGTACTTTACTAAGTAAAGAGTCTATAAAATTTTTCAAACCTGAAGAATCAGTTCGGTCTAAATAATTGTAAATGGACTGTACTTATACAGCTCCTTTCTATCTTATCGAGACACTCAAAGCGCTTTACAACAATCTGTGCCTCATTTACCCGTTCATACAGCTCTCTACTACCTGTATATCTGTACAAAGATAATCAGAGCTTTAGATCACATTCATACACCGATGGGACTCGCATCAGAGGCTATGAGGAATTCTGTCTTGTCCAGGGACACTTCAGCATGTGACTGCTGGTGGAATCGAACCCCCAACTCTCCCATTAGAGGACGACTGCTCTAACCACTCATTCACAGCCACCCCATGGTGACTTTATAGATTTCTACAGATTTGACACTATATTGAACAAACAAGGAAAGAGACCAAACAAGAATACTGGGACAACATTCTGGTAAAGGTCTTTATGGAGGCATACGATTACGGCCCGGGCCAAAAAAATAATTTCAAGACTCTATGGGGGTTTACAACAAATGAGAGAAAGCTCTGCATGTAAAACAGAAACATGAGCGGGAAGGAAATTTAGTCTTAAATGATGAAGAATGGGAGCATCTGTGTGGGATACAATGGAAAACATCAATTCAACAAAATGGAGAGTTTTGTTGGAAAACTCTTATTTGTCACTTCGGCTCAAAAAAGACACGACATCAACTGATCTACATGTTGGAGACAGTGTGGACGTCTCAAAGCATATTACTTTCAAATATTCTGGTCTTGTCCAGTACTCTTCTCCTTCTGCCAGGAGGTCGATAAAATTTAGCACAAAGTATGGAGATGCTGGAGAGCATCCTGTGCTCCAGCATCAACGTGTGGCATGGAGGCTGCACAGCTGCAGAAAGAAAAGCTTTGCAGAGAGTGGTGAAGGCTGCACAGAAGATGTTGGAGTCAGTCTCCCCACCATCACAGACATCTACACCTCCAGATGCAGGAAGAGGGCCACCTGCATCATGAAGGACCACACTCACCCAGCACACACACTTTTTGTCCCACTCCCCTCAGGAAGGAGGTTGAGGAGCATTAAGTGTAGAACCACAAGACTCAGCAACAGCTTCTACCCTGAGGCTGTTAGACTCATGAATCTCTAACCAGAACCTCTGGACTTCAGTTTGGATCTGGGGACATCTAAGAGGAAATGGTTGGTAGACCGGAGTGCTCTGACTGGAGTGTAGGTGTTAATAAGATCACATACTGTAAATAAGACGGGGCCAGACCTTTTAAGAAAAGCAATAACATCTTAAAATCAATCCTGAAGTGGACAGGAAGTCAGTGAAGAGAAGCCAGGACAGGGATTGTGTGTTTGTGTTTTTTAGTTGCAGTAAAAAGACGAGCTGCTGCGTTCTGGACGGTTTGTAAGAGATGCAGAGATGATTTATCCAAACCAAAATACAATGAATTACAATAGTCCAAATGAGAGCTAATAAAAGCGTGAATCACGTTTTCAATGTCTCTGAAAGGGAAACAAGACTTCACCTTGGCAACGAGTCTTAAATGGAAGAAACTGGATTTCACAACTGCATTTCTCTCATTTAAAAGCACTATCAAAGATAACCCCCAGATTTCTGACAGTGGAGTGGTTGTATGAAGCCAAGGGGCCAAGAGTGTCACGGGCGTTACATTTACCAAAGCTGATGACTTCTGGTTTATTTCATTTAGATTCAGGAAGTTTAGATTTAACCAGACTTTAATGTCATTCAGACAGGTCAGGAGTGGTTCCAGTGCAGTGACTCTGTCCGACTTAATGGGAAGACACAAATGAATATCACCAGCAAAGCAATGAAAATGGATGTTATGTTTTCTACAAATGAATGTAATATAATGTGCAGATAGTCCAGTATATCTGACAGATGAGGAGGTAAACTTGATGAATAATTAATTATTAAAACCAGATACTGGCAACTTAACATGACGGAGGCTGAGAAGAGTTGTGCGGTCATAGACGAGCAAAGCTGAGACGTCGAAGCAGAAAATCCCAAAAATCTAACAAGCAGCAAAAAACAAGCGTGCGTGGCAGACGGACGGTCGTGACTGGCGCCATCTTGGACTTTCCTGAAAAAACAGGGGAAACCCTGTTAAAACTTTATATGCAGTTCTAATTGTAACAAATATATAAACTATAAAGCTCCAAATGGAGTAAATACAGTAGAATAGAACAGAAACAGCCTTTATTGTCCCACAGAAGGTAAATTCAAGTGTAATACAGTAAGTGCAGCGTGTAGGAAAGCCATAATGAGGAAAAGACTAAAACAAGAAAGGCCTGCAGAAGATGAGTGGATTGACATTTACTGCATTTTTACGATGGAAAGAATTACTTTTTGCCATAAAACTACGGGAGGTGGGGGCAGGGGATATTTTTTAAAAAATTAGAAAGATAGAATACATGCGCAACATCAGTGCAACCATCATTTGGCTAAAGTCGGGCCTTGCATGCATCATGTTCTTCTTTTGT